GTGAGATTGCTGGACCACGTGACCCCTAACAAACCTTTATTCAATGGTTCTGGAGTGGGTCACAGGAGGCCGAGATTTTGAAAAGGACTTCAGATAACTCTGAAAGATGTGGTCTGTGGTTCAGTTTGAAAAAAACAGCAAGTTAGAGAAATTACACATACCAAATCAAGAGATTTAAGACAATATATAAGTTCAGTGTAAGAGGACATTAGTAAAGGTTATGTTTGGGAGCAAGGCCTCATAGATTAAAGACTGTTAAAGATAGGGTGATATAGGATGACAGGCAGAAAACCTAATTTTGAGGCATGTCTGTGGTGGCCCATTGTAAGGTAGTTATGGGAAGGGTGGTAGCAACAAATTGTCCAGCAGGCTGAGGGTTTCAAAATGATAAAAGCACCTCATATTGATTTATCCCAGCTGGAGTATGAAAAAGCCAAGCTCTAGAAATTATACAACTGTTGAATCTAAATTCAATATGTGAAAAAAGAGGAAACATTCTATAATATTCTAAAGATTTGTCTGAAGCCATAATACATTCCATGATGATTAATAATTTATTGTCTCTTGTAACTGCTCTGATGATATCTAAATAAGGTAGAGAAGAACTAAGATGATATAGCTGTATATTTCCAGTTTGGCTGGCCTTTCTGTCTTCCCCTCCCTCCCTCCACCTTTGCCTGCCTGCCTCCTTCCTGCTTTCTTTTTTGACTTTTCTTTCCTTCCTTCTTTCCTTTCTTCCTCTCTCCTTCCCTCCTCCTTCTTTCCTTCCTTCCTCCCTTTTTTTTCTTTTCACTTTTCTTTCCTTTTTTCCTCTTTCCCGCCCTTTCTTTCCCCTCTCCCTCCCTCCCTCTTTTCTTCTCTCCTCTCCTCTCCCCTCCCCTCCCCCTCACCAAACTATTGAACAAACACTGTTCAAAACCAATGATGATCCAGTGACATCTGTGAATCTTTGTACATCCCGCTAGGGAATTACTGAAGCTGCTATATATACAAAAAAGTCATCAAAATCACTTTACTATTGCTAGTGGCAGAACACAGGGCTACGTTCTTGCTACATTAATATCTATTATTTACTTTCTAGTAATGGATTCATTGCTTTCAAAGGCAGTACAGGTCAGACCATACTCTGTGTGAGATCCCAAAAGCAAGGTAATAGTGGTATTTGAGATTTCCTGTGTGAAGATAATTACATGTTCCTATTAAAAATCATATACAGACTTCGTTGTTGTCACCATACCAATGCTGTGTTTCACTTTGCTCTGTGTTAACTTCCAGAGTGACAAAGAACCGGCTATAATGAATGCTTATAGCTTAATTCACATAGACACTAACTATAAGTTAGTGGATTGTTTTGCATTCCTTTTATCTTAGTAGTGTAATTTTTTATGATCCAATCCAGTGTCTGCTCAAAAAGTAGAAATAATAGGCAAGAGTGCTCATTTACAACTGAAAGAGAGCTTCCCTCAAGGTAAGCCATAACCTAAAACTATCCAAATAGTGTACACGTTACTTTGATGTTTAATGTAACTTTCATGTTACCTGAGCTAGAAGACATTCAATAAAATGGCAAGCCAATACCACTGTACAGAAATGTAGTGAAAAAGTTCATTATGATGTTCTGAGCATTCATTATGATGTTCTAGTGATAATTTTCTCCCAACAGGTGATACTGGAATATTTAATTGGAATGTTACAGTAAGGTGGGTGTTTTGCAGTGTGTTTCTAGGCATACGACTAAAAGATGCACTGGCCTCTAAAGAAAATTAGAGATTCCTCAAAAATCTTGAAGTAGAGCTACCACTGGATCCAGCTATACCACTCTTTGGTATATTCCTGAAAGAATTAAAGTCAGCATACAACAGAGATAACTGCACACATATGTTTATTGAAGCACAATACATTGAACTAAGCTATGGAAACAGGCTAGGTGCTCATCAAAAGAAAAACAGATTTTTAAAAATGTACTATATATAAACACAGTGGAGTCATACAGGAAAAAATCATGTCATTTCCAGGAAAATGGATGGAACTGAGACTTAACTTTCATGTTAAATGAAATAAACCAGACTCAGGATGTCAAATACTTTATGTTTTCTCTCATATATGAGACCCGGGGCAGAGGCGGGGGGTATGGGGGGGTGATGGCATGAAAGTGAAAAGATGAAAAGAGATTATCAGAGAAGAAGGGAATAAGGGGGAGAGGGAAAGGTTAGGAATAGGGGATAAAATGATCAAAGTATTTTACATGCATGTACAAATATATCAAAATGAAACCCTTTATTCTGTATAACTAATATGCACACTAATTTAAAAAAAGAAAAAACAGGAGCTGGCAGTAAAATATGCTTTAACTGGGGCATGACTTATCATAGAAGGGGTTCAGCTGTTTGATTTTGTGAAGAAAGCAAAAGTAAGGATAGACAACAGTAAAGCAAAAAGTAGTTTTGGTCACAGGACACTAGACTTCAAATTTGTCAGATTCCCCATGGCCCTAATTCCCATGGAGTCATTCATGAGATCTGTGTATGCATGTGTGAGAGTATGCATGTGTGTTTGCATGTATATATGCATGTGGTTTTGTATGTAGCATCTATCTGTGTATGGAGTATTTATAGTTTTTTAAAGACTGTGACACCCATGGCTTAGGCCACAAGCAGGGAACCAGCTCTACCTATCTTTCTTCCCTCTCCCAGTCAAGAAAGTTAGTGCTTCTACTATATAAGTTATCTCATGTTTCGCAAATAGGAAATCTCATTATTATATGACATTTCATTATTTGAAGAAGTTATATATACAAACTGTATTATGGAAATGTACTCAAACAGAAAAACCCACAGACCACGTAGACTCAAATTTACCATAATAATATTAAACCTGAACATAATGTGCTTGGTAAATCTAAGTTGGTGTGCCTAAGCTATGACATGTCACAGGTTATTAAATGCAGGTACCTGTGTTCCCTTTAGATCCAAAGTGCAAGGGTCAAGTTCCTGGCCATCTCAGTATAGTCAAGTTTTATCACTTATTCTACCACACAGTAGGGAAGAATCTCGAGTATAAAATTATCAGATTTTAGAGTTTCTTTTTAAAGGACCTGATATTTTTCAATGTCAATAAAAATTACACCTTATGAAAAAATTTTAATGTGAGAAGCAAAGAATTTATTTAAATTTTTTGAATGAATAAAATGTAATTCAAAAGCTATGAAATTTGCCCTCAGTAACATCTTTTGCAGAATAAAAAGAATGAAAGAAGATATTTTTAAAGTGAAAAAAAAAAAGCAGAGAACTTGGTATTCTGATAATCAGATGAGGGGATAATAATAGTAAGCTGATAATCAAACCAGTAATGTTTAGTTGTCAACTAAAATTTGGTTTTAAGTTTATAAAAGAAGGCTACATAGGACCTACCTAGAAATTTTATTTCTAAAATACCCCACTAATAATAATAGTAGTAGTAATACTATAATACACTAATACTAATAATAGTAGTAATAACTAAAGCTTTTTTATTACAACATCATTTTGGCAATCATATGAGACAAATGCTATTATTATCTTCATTTATAATAAGATGCTGAGATTTGGGACTAATTAATTTGTGCTATGTCACAGTCAACCAAAAAAGGAACAGGGTGTATTCTTTACACACCACCTCTTACCCTAGTGGATAGAATGGAAGGACCAAAAAAGGGAAAAAATAAGAAGGAAACCAGGAAACTAAAAGAGATGGAGACAAAGGACAGGGAGGCTGTGACACCTAACAATGCTGGCCATGAAAGGATAGGAAATGCCTGTTAGGCCCAGTGAGTCCTCCATCCCCTTATTACTGACCTGTGCCCACTGTTCTACTCTCCAGGGTCCAAGCTCCGAGTGCAATGTTTGATCTATACCCCCAACACATCACTAAAATATATGACTCCATCATATTAAAATGTTTTTATAAGAATATGATTTAATCCACAAAAGCAATTGGCGTCTGTCTCTCAGGTCACTCTGCTACTTTTTAAGTTCATCAGCAGAAACAGATTCATGCTGAGAGCCGATTTATTGCAAAGGAACTATGTGAGCTGTCTGCCAGGAGCATTTATATCTGGAGAGGAGTATTTTGAAACAATGCTCCCAGTCAAAGGCATTTTAGGGTTCCTGCTTGGAAGGCAGAGCTCTGAGTACACCTAAGACCTTTTCTCTTAAATGTCCTTTCTGGTCTTTTAGAACAACAATAGCTATTTGCACTTTAAATTCCTACAATACCTGTTTACTTCTCCTACAATTCCTTGAGGGTAATATATTCTTATTTTATAGGTAAAGAAAGCAGCTCAGACATTAAAAAGCTAGGATCAGTAGGAGCAAAGGAAGACTTGAACCCAGATGTTGTGGCTACAAATACAGTTCCCTGCTCATTACTTCTGAAAGCTTAGGAGTTGGACATTTTAAGGTTAAATCCATGTTTCTGCTGCTACGGACATAAAGCTGACAAGAAATACAGTGTGGAATACTCTTCACTCTGGAGTAGTGGTGATAAATTTATTTACCTTAAATAAAAAACTAAAACCTAATCTAAAAAGTTACTTTTAGAACCTGTAGATAAAGTCCTTTATCAACTTCTTCCAGGCTAGCTGACAAAAACCAAAGGCAATGAAATCTATCTGTAGCACATCAAAGCCAAACCAGGAGAGTTAAATACCTACTTATAGACCAGCAACAATGACACTGTCCAGACCTTAAGAGGACTAATGTATATTGATAACAGTAAAATATATTTCAGAACATTCTGTAATATCTCTTTTATTTCAATCTTCTACCTACTTGAAGTATGTTTGAAAGGTAGAAATTCCATTATAAAAACTAAATTTGGAATTTCCCTCATTATATCTTTGAATCTGCACAGGATGCTTTGGCATAGGCTACAGTAGGCTGACAAGCTCTGATTTAGGCTCAGTCCTACTGGAAAAAGATACTGGGGTATTACAAAATTTGCTTGAAAATATGATTCCTTACCACATGCCCACATATCCACAGGCTTTCCATAAGGATCTTTACGCAAAACTTCTGGAGAGAGATATCCAGGAGTGCCAGCAAAACCTAGGAAAAGCAGATGTTCAGGAGTCAGAGCTAATGACAAAATCGTCATGAAGTGGGAAACCAAAAAAGAAAACTTTTCCAGGGTTTCTTTATCTGATATGTTCTTTTTGTCAAAACAGAGCAAGGCTCTCTGAGTGCTAAATTAATTTAAGCTAGTTTCTCTTTATAGCAATATCAATACTAGTATGTCCTGTCCTTTAGCTTATTCAGAAAAACAAAACAAAACAAAACTTTTCTCCAGATACAGAGGCCAATCTATTGTGCTGCACAGTAACTATGTATATTTAAGGGCACTTTTGGGTAGCAGTTTTTAATGTCACTTATATGAGAGTTCAAACTAAATCTGAAAAGAAATAAAGAGAAAAGTAAGATTAGAATCTTACAAAAGGCAATAGTTATCATGATACCTAAATAACTACTGTAAGAAGTAGTCACCTATAAAATATGAGGGTATAAAAACATAGATACTAAGAACAAATTTAAAGCAGATTTCCTGTAAAGAGTTTTTAAAGTGTCTATTGGGTATAGCAAAATGAGGCCAGTGGGGATAGGAGAAAAAGTAACTGAAGAACTACTCAGGAGAAGAAACAAGCCCAAAATACATCAAGGAGTTCAATGTGTACTAATAAATAATCAGGGTGTACTCATAACTGGCAAGGAAAGAGAAGATTCAGGGACATTCAGATGAATCATTATTGAGCACACACAAACTAGACTTTCAATGCGGACCTGGTAAGAGAAACTAGATGGCCAAAGAAAGCCTCACATTTATGTAACCAGTGTAAAATTTAAAAAATTACACTTAAGTAAAAATCAATTTATAGCTTGAATCCAGAGTAAAATATTTCATATTTCTGAAAATATTAATTTTTCAAATAAAAAATCATTTGAAAGTAGCAAAGATAACCCTTCTCATCTGAAAGTTTTCTTGAACAGCACAAACAAAAAGCAGGAAAATCTTTTTTTTTCTTAAATTCTTTTATTAGTTCATTTTAGGTATACAATGTGTTTACATTTATCATTGGGTGCTTGTACCTGTACATGACATATCTTGGTTCTTATTTTTTCCCCATTCCCTGTGTGCCCTTCCCTATTTACACAGGCTTTGTTTCCATTTTTTCCTTTTCTCATAATTTTTCCTTTCCCTTCTTTCCTTTCCCCTTCCCCTCCCACTTCCCCTACTGCTTTGGGCCTTTTCTTGCAATTTCAAATTATCAATTATTCATTTTCCAGCATTTGTTACTGGTTGATTTACTGATAGCAGCCATTCCTTCCAGGGTGAGGTGGAATCTCAGTGTTCTTTTTACCCGAATCTCTCAAATGACCAATGATGTTGAACATTTTTCCAAATGTTTACTTGCTGCTTTTACTTCTTTGTCTGAGAAATGTCTGTTCAGTTCAGATACCCATTTTTGAATTGGGTCTTTGAATTTGGGGGGGTCTGATTTTTTTCAGTTCTTTATATATTCTAGATAGTAGTCCTTTGTCTGAGGTACAGCTGCTAAAATTTTTTTCCCACATT